CCGTTTTTTTTAGTTTAGATCTTGGCCACTCGCCCCTCACCAGGCCCGACTGAGCACATTTGCGCGAGTAAATTGCGAGGCGTTTCGACACACTGACGCGTGTCAAGAGCAAATGCAGCCCTTCCCAGGAACCCTACGCGACGTCCTCCACGGCAAATGCAACTCAGACAACTTGCTCAATCACGTAACTTACTGCGCACCTTGATGAGCACGTTTCGCCATTTTGCCATTCCCATCCCGTCCGAACCCTAAAACCTGCAGCAAACGGCCCACCCGACCGGAGAGAAGTCAAAATGGTCAACTTTGGCAACCTCCTTCAATATCTCGCCTTGCAATCACCGCATTCGGGCGACACCACCACAGACAGTAACAACACCACTCTCAATCTTGCCAAGATGGGTCTTACCGCCTACACTCTCCCGGCCTTGCCCTACTCCTACGATGCTCTTGAGCCTCACATCTCAGCCCAGATCATGGAGCTGCACCACAGCAAGCACCACCAGGCTTACGTGACCAACCTGAACAAGGCCCTCGAGTCGCACGTTGCCGCCGTCGCATCCGACGATGTGGCCGGCCAGATTGCCCTGCAGCAGGTCATCAAGTTCAACGGCGGCGGCCACATCAACCACTCGCTGTTCTGGAAGAACTTGGCCCCGGCGGGGAGCAACGAGGCGAACCTGGACCGGGCGAGTAGCTTGGTGGCCGAGATTGAGAAGACGTGGGGGAGCCTTGACGCTTTCAAGAAGGCCTTCTCCACGGCCCTGTTGGGGCTCCAGGGGAGTGGTTGGGGCTGGCTGGTCAAGGAGGCCGGGAACGGGGCCGGCTTGCGCATCGTCACGACCAAGGACCAGGACCCTGTCGTTGGCGGGGATGTGCCCATCTTTGGGGTCGACATGTGGGAGCATGCATATTACCTCCAGGTTGGCCCCCCCTCTGTTTGATCATGCCGACATTTGCTGACTGCAATTTAGTATCTGAACGGGAAGGCGGCGTACGTTAAGAATATTTGGAACGTTATCAACTGGCAAACCGCCCAGGAACGCTTCTCGGGGAAGTCTGATGAGAAAACTGAACTTTAAGCTTACACGGTTGGATGATAGCGAAATATTATTGCCTTGCACTGATGATCAACATGCATGGCTGTGGATTTCCATGATGTCTGCGGTTAAACTTGTCGGCCCACGCCGTGGGCGACACAGCGAACAGCGACAGGCGGTTTCGACTCATTTCACTTCGTCAGAAACAATCCTCCCCGAATCTTGTGCAAGTCATTTTACCTGGCACACACGATCGGCTTCCATCGAGCGCCCCTTCTGCACGCTCCCGGATCACCACGGGCTCTCCCCATACTGCAAAGCGAAGCGAGCAACATGCGAGATCGGTCTCACAGCCACGAGGTCACCAATCGACCGGCCGAGCAAGCACGGTGTTGCGCACCATAAAACCGAGCATCGGTGTTCTGTGTTGCTCTCTCGGTGTGACGCATGCGCTGCGTTTGCGAGATCTCGACCGGCACCACCGGCAACCTGCATCTCAGCCGCTGCAGGAACTGGGCAGAACGGATTCAACTCGTAAATGTGCGACTTGCTGATCCCAGCGTGTCTGAGGCCGTTTTATTTTGCTCGGGTCATCGCCATGTCGAGAGTATTGGCGTTGTTTTCTGTTGCGTAGCCTGTGAGTCGAAAGCTGTGAAGACTCAGGCTGTCAACACTGCAAGATGTTTTCGCCAGCGCACTTTCTTTGATCGGAGCCAAATCCAGCGCGGCTTGATGGGATGGACCTCCAGATAACATCCGCACGGGACTTTATGTCCGCGACATCTTTTCCATGCTCACACTTGGCATAGCACCGGAAATGCAACGACAGCTAAATCTCCGGGTCGCTCAACTACAGCCGCTAGCCGTCGTGTCCCATGGCTCTGTACAACCTTCCCAGATGAGAAGACTGTAATCTTCGGTGTGCCCTGGCAAATACGGCCGCCTTTTGGGACATGTGTTTGATGCATCTGGCATAACCCCGACGGGACCATCCAGGGCCAGGTTTGGTGCCGTCGGCAACACACGGCCGCGGGGAGGGGAAACCGGATTAGTACAGAAACATCCACCAGTAAAGTACCAGAAGCTTAGCTGGCATTGGTGATGTCGACGGAACAGTCCCCGGGTTTTGTTTGTTTCTCTCCGTATTATCCAATCCGAGCAAGCAACAAGATTTTCTGGACCACCGAGCCTGGCTCAAGGGAACCCAACCCGGCATACCCTCGTTAGCAGTGGGTCAAATGAGATTGATAGAAGGAGGTGTGCCTGGGTGGTTGAGTGCAAACACACTCGCTGTGGAGCCGACGGGATCCAGGGATCGCGGTTGCGAACGAAGGAAGCCCGGCACGGCGAGGTAGCAAAGAGTCAACCAAGGTTATAATATGGTCGAAGTCACAGTCTGGCTGTCACCGCCCCATACGCTTCTTTTGCAGAACCGACACAGTCCCTTGCACCAAGAATCAGCACCATCATGACCAAGGTCCATCATCTGATGGCTCTTCTGAGCTTCAGGTACGGCCACAATACCCTGCGAGCACCAGTTCAACGCGCTAATGACCCCTTAGCCGCACTTTCGCGCCTACCTTGGGTCACGTTAACCGTGATTATGGGTACGGTGGCCCGATTCTCTTGCAGTCTACCGTCACGGCCACCATAACGACAACCCAGATCTCCACGGTGACCGTCGATGGAAGCACTTGTGATGCTGTCTACACCCCAACGACTGTGACTGTCTACACTGGCTGCTCTTCGATCTCAGACGCTTCCGGCCTGCCTCTCAGCAGCTACAGCAGCCATGGCCCCTGGATCAACGCCACCTTCACCACGGATGTGCCCTGCACCCATAACTTGCCGACTTCCATCGCCGCGCCGAGCAACTTCTCTAGCTCCATGGGTTGGAACCACACGACGGTCACTTCACTTCCGACTCTGTCCGGGACAGCCGGCACCACCATCGAGACCGCCGACCCCTTGGGAACATCGTCCGTCCGCTGGACCAACTCAACCCGGAGCTCGACCGCGGAGGAGGACTGGACAAGCGTCATTACTCTCACGGTGACCTCTTCTGCGATGGTTCCTGTCAACGCGACCACGACCACGGGCTACTCTGCACCCAGCTCCGGTTTCAGCACTGGCACTGGCATCCCCGGCCACGAGTCCTCGGACGTTCCGCTGTCCTACCACCCCAGCCTGACATACCAGACCACCACGCGGGGTAAGTTGGCAGCCTACTTTCTCATGTCCACAACTAACCCTTTCACAGCACCATCCGGCATACCCACGAACGAAACCACGACCAACTCCTGGTCTTCCGCCCCCACTCACACCTGGTCCACCCCGCCCAGCTGGAACATCAGCACCATCCCCAGCCTGCCAACCAACACCACCTCCCACACCATCCTCACCACCGAAACCAACGACCCCCTCTTCACCGACCCCACCTCCTCTCCCATCCCAACCTGGTCCAACACGACCCTTACCCCGGCCTGGCCAACAACCTCCCTCATATCCCTCACACCCTCCTTCTCGTCCACCGCCATCACATCCACACCCACCAGCACCAACAGCAACGACTCCGGCGGCGACTACGGCAGCTACAGCTACCCGTCCCCATCCCCGTCCTCCTCCGCCAGCAGCACCGTGGACTTGGTCGATCCCATCGGGGGCACTGCCACCACCACCAGCTCCATCCCCACAACTCCCACCCTCACTCTCACCCGCACTGATGTTGGCGGCGGTGGTGGCGGTGGCGGTGCTTCGTCCTTGTTCTCGGCCCCAACAACCCTGTTGACTGCCACAGCCTCGAGGCCGGCGGATGGGACGTCGACGACGACGACGACGACGGGGTTCCAGCAGCCTGGGTATGGGTATGGGTATGGGTATGGGTATGGGGGTTATTGAGGGTTGAGGGGCGGGTTTGTATGTACGGAGGAGTGGGGCTGTCTGGTGAAGTGGGCGATGGAGATTAGTCTGAGGGGTGGGTTGTGGGCTTGTGTTTTGTGTAGGGGGAGGGGGAGGCCAAAATGGTGTTTGGGGAGGAAGATGAAGGAATGGTGGGGGGTTAGGAGGTCGGGGTTGGGTATGTGGGGTGTGATTCGCTTCTGGAGCGTATTTATTTGGTTGTTTTGTTGTAGGTACCTAGGTAGTTGTGGTAGGGGCAAATATGAGATGTTTTCGGAAAGCAATGTCACTCTGGTATTGAAGGCCAAGACTCTTCGAAGCATCAATGGCAAGATGGTAAAGAGAGTTGGGTCTCACCAGCGGCTGGTCACCGGCGGCGGTGGGCCGGGTTTGGAGCGCCTCCCTTTCATCTGATCTCAAGCCAGCCTCAACTTGCACCAGCCACCGCGCACCTTCCAGCACTCTATGTATTAGGTCCGCAGCTCACACTGTCACCGCCTCCTCCCAATTGAAGTCAAACACCGATTTAGCTCAGCGGTATTGGGAGGAGGACCGGTTCGACTCCCCCTCGCGGCGCAAAACTCTAATTTTCAGAGTTTTCGTAACTACCAACCCTCATTCGACCGGCAAATGGGGCTTGGTGGTGAGCTTTTTAACTTTTCCTTCCTCCTTCAACATTGTTTCTCCTTTTTCTAACTAAGCCTTTGCTTGAATACTCCCAGCAGTTAGAAGTTGACAAGCAGCTTTGAGTGATATGTATTATGACCACACCGCTGTGAGTTTCGAGAGTTCTTCGGCATAACACTCCTTACTACTTCGTAGATCGGACTACTCCGTACATTGGGTAGGATTCTCGGTCTTATGAGAATATCAAATATCCGCCTATCGGCCGGATTTCTCGGAGCATCCGGCAGTGGATCGCATTGAAAGGATGAGACCATGGCGTGCGGCGCAGCCAGGAAGAGGAGCCGGCGCAGGGGTTAAGGTTATTTTACTCCGTCAGCGTGACAACAGGCAAGGAATCCATTGGTTACCGCGTCAAAAGAGAAGCAGGAGCCCCTGAAACTTCCCATTCAGCGCTGCCTCCATCGCCAAGCGCGGCGTGGGAACTGATTTGTCCTTGGGGCTATTACAGCAAATAAGAGGACTGGACCTCTACTCGGGTCCCGGAATCCTGCGTCAGTCAGCCAGCCACCTCCCCTCATATATTGGTTCAAGCACCCCATAGCCAGCTTCAGGGGTGGTTACACAAAATATTTTGTGTAGGTGACGACTGCACATATAAGATTCGAAGGATACCTGGTGCCTACCTACCACCCTCCCGGTTCAAATTCACGTCATTTCCAAGCAGCTTCAGGTTGTCTACCCTCTCACTACCCAGCCCTCAACAACCCCACAACAACCCAACCCCAAAATTACCCACCATGAAGCCCACCCTCCTCACCACCCTCGCCGCCACGGCCACGGCCACCGAGATCCTCCTCCCCCTCTACCAATTCCCCGCCTCCAACGGCGGCGTCTGGGCGCCCATCGAACGGGCCCTCACCGCCAACCCCTCGCTCACCGCCAAGATCATCATCAACCCCAACAACGGGCCGGGCGGTCCCAACCAAGGCATCGACGACCCGCAATACGAAGCGGGCACCAAATCCCTCGCCGCCCACGCCAACGCGCAACTCCTCGGCTACGTGCACACGTCGACCGACCTCGGCGCCACCCGCTGCAACGTGCCCTGGGCGGACATCACGGCGGACATCCGCAAGTGGGCGACGTGGGTGGATCGCGGGGTGGCGATTCGGGGGATTTTTATCGACGAGGCGCCGAATAGCAGTGCGAATGATTGCGTGGCGTATATGCGCAACCTGACAGAGCTGATTCGCACGGATGAGGAGCTGGTGGCAAGGTTTGGGCCGCGGCCGGTGGTGGTGTATAACCCCGGGGGGACGGGCGCGTTGCAGCCATTTTATGACCTGGGTCCGGATCTGATTGTGGCGTTGGAGACGTGCTTTACGGTGCCGGAGCTGGCGGGCGAGGATTATGATCAGTGTCCGAAGGCGGGGGGCTACGAGAGGTATGATCATGATGGGGTGGGTAGCTCGATTGATAATGTGCTGTTTCCGAGTGTGGGGGCGGCGAACGCGGCTCAAACGGCGGTGCTGGTCCATGGGTTTCATGATTTCAATGGGCCGTCGGCGAATTTGAGTGCTACGGCGGCCGTGCTGGAGCAGTTGGTTGGGGCGGTGGTGCAGAGGGGCATTGGGGCGACGTTTTTCAACACGAGGGGGTATCATGCGTTTGAGGATGAGCCGGCGACGTTTGAGGCTTTCGCGGGGGTGTTGAATGCGGCGAATGCAGCATAGGTTGGGGGAGATGCGGGACGAACGGAATAGGTAGAGGGATAGTTATGGACTCATGGTAGATATGACGGTAAACTATGGCATGTACTACCGCTGGATATAACTGTGGTACTTGAATAGAAATTGGCATCGCCGCACATGTGGCTCCTAGCACGCTCAGCAGCCTGTGGATTTGGTGCCGTAACACTCCAACGCGCCGTTGCGGTTGTCGACAATGGTGTCTAGATGCAGAGTGATAGTGGTTAGTTCGAGGGTCTGTGTAATCTAAGGATTCAGGGGGCACAGACTGAGGTCGAAAATGGCAGTGGGCCAATTGGCCTGGGCAGCGCCGGTGCCAGGATTGCACTTGCAATACATCAGCGACGGGCCGGCGTCGACGATCAGGCCGTTGTCAGGCTTGCCATTGGTGCACTGGATGCACTGGTCTCCCAGATGGGCACTGTTGATCGCTTGTCAGTATACTCTGGATCAAGTAAGAGCACACTGGGCATACCCATTTCCAGCTGGATCGGCCTGCAGAGTGCCGTAGCTGTTCTTGAGGCACCGGTTCAGATCGAGCTTGGAGCACTTGTATTGCCCAAAGATGTTCCTGCAGTTCGCCGTCAACGTCCTACCGCTAACCTTGATCGAATTGGTCTCGCAAGATCCGGCAAAGTTGGCGGCGAGAACGCCGGAGGCACTGAGGCCAAGGACCAGAATGGAAAAGATGGACTTCATGGCGGTTACAGATTTGCGTGTGAAGACCTTGTACCTGTTGATCAGATCCCGATTGAGGTGCCAGGTGTGTGACTTGTTATAAGCGGAGT